CCCGCCATACATTGACTCTTCTTAATGTTTGGCAGTAAGCGCCATCGCCACTGAAAAATAAAGAAGAGTATTTGGCTGGAAGCAAAATTGCGGCCTAGGGTTTGTTCCTCAAGCCAAATTACTTCATCGCTTGCCTCAGTCCAGTAGCCAGTGACGCCATTTTTCTTTCCATCGTATGGTAAATGTTCTATCTGTACACATGAAAAACTCTTTCTGTATTATATAAGTTACTTTCTCCCAAGTCACAATTGACTCTTAGTTTCTTTTTTCCCCCTCTTTACTAATTTTAATATGAAGCAATTATTTCAGCTTGAAATATATTACAGATCAAATTTTTAATATAAAAAGATATATATATACAGGGTTGTTCACCACATAAAAACACGGAGTACGATTAGAATTTTACAAATCTATATCACGAACAAGTTCTCAAAGGCTAGAAGCAAAAATGTAGAAATATTTATTTATAATTAAAATAATTTTATAAGATACAGAGTGTCCCAAATAAGTAAAAAGTATTTTTTTTGTTTGTTTTTTATTGATATTTAAAAAAAAAAATTTAACAATTATTATTAAATTCATATCCTATTTAATTAAATTTTATATTTTTTTGAATCACCTTGTATATCGTGGATCAGTTGCATAATTTAATTGTCTGTCAATTATTATACCATTTTTACCTATCTCTTTAGTTTCAGAAAATGCATTTCTCTCTTGTAATTTAGAACTCAATTTATCAATATACCCATGGACTAATGGTACCTTTAGATTACTTTTAAAGATGCACCAAATTTCTAGCAGAGTACAGATACTACATTTATCAGAAATAATAAAAAAAAAAAAACATTAAAAAAATAAAACCAGTTTAAAATATTTGTTAAAGAGGATCAACTAATATGATCCCAGTATCCAAACTACATTAACTGACTGTCTATGTTGACTGATAAGCACTATTCCAAATACTCAAAACCGAATCCTTGTATGGGTAATTGTATTGTTGGATAAAAAGTAAATTAACCCAAAAACGATAATCTATTCCATCTTTTAATAACAAACACCATTTCCATAACAACAGAGACTCGAATTTAGATAACCTATTATCATACTGATTTGACTCAAAATCCACATATTTACCTATAATAACTTCCATTAACGAACACACCAAGCAAATTAACTCAGTATACAAGGAAATAATGGTGCTATATCGAATTAACGGTAATAATTTCATAAAGATTTAAATAGTTTCTTTAGTATACATCATATCATTATCGTCTTACAAAACGATAATATTACTAGTCTGTACACTTTGTACATTTCTTGCTTTAAAAAATCCAAAATGTTTTTTTTTTTTTTTTATTGATTTTTGAGGTCTAAATTATAAGAAAATTAATAATAAAAAAAGACACACTGACGAGCGAGAAAAATACAACCCAGGACAATCTAATCCAGCATCCGATCCCAAAACATACAGGGCATCTCATTTTAAACTAAAGAAGCCGCCTGAAGCCACACCATTTAAAATAAACTTTTAGATACCTGTATAAGGTAGCATTATTTTTACTACTGCAACACAACAATCAATCAACAAACTCTTACTAAATATCTAGTAATAAAAACATACCTTGGAGAAAACAGTTTTAAAAATTTTACCTGCACAAAACTGGAAAATATTTCAAAACGTGCTATTCTACATGTAAACCCAATCAAACTCCACCTTTTTTTTAATCGCAGAAACTAAAATGTAACAACATACAGGGTGTCCCAATTTAAAAAAATACAACTTTGATATTTTTTATTTATTTGGGACACTCTGTATCTTGTAAAAATATTTTTAAATTGTAGCTCTAATAGTCCTTCAACGAACCCCAAACTTACAATTTGTAAAAATCTCATCGTT